CCTGATTCCAGGTTTACCCCAACACTATTGACTACACAACAGCAGTGAGGCTCTTGAGTGATTCAGTTGGCAAGCCTTGGGGTTGCGGGTTCGAACCTCTCCGGATTGAAGCAAAAACTCGCGATATAGAAGTGAAAATCGCATAAAAAGTCATGAGCAGACAACAACGAAAGGCGGGCACAAATGGGGTTGCTGAATGAAACTATTCTCGCGTACAAAACATTTGAAACCGCACGAGGATGAGGAGGATAAAGAAGACTCCTGCGTCTACCTTCCCTCCTATTCGACCCGGGCTGGAGCATCAACGTTCTTCTTGTACCGCCAAGACATAAACTGGACCCCAGACGTAGGCACGACCATTACTGGCAACTTGGGGTCCGCCAATCGCCTGCAAGATCCTCTCTCTTGCAAACACACAGCGGGAGAGGTCAACTCTAGTGCGTCCCGGATGCACACCGCTACGACTGGCCTCGCTGGCATCCCTTCCGCAGTAGCGTCGGCCGGGGCGGCGGGCGGGGAAATCACGAACGAGCGACACAGCGTCCGGAAGTGCCACCTTTGCACTCGACGGGCAAACTTCCGCTACTACAGCCGTGCGCGGAGAAACCATGACTTCGTTCCAAGAAGAGCACCGAGGCTTTTGACTTGCTCCTTCCTGCCCCACCCGTGGACACCAAGAGTCTGCCACAACAAAGACAAAAAAACAGCACCCGATTCCCCACCTCACCTCGCATAGTGCTCCAACCAGACGTCGGCAGCGCCCCTGTCCTCCTCCTTCCCCCTCGCCTCGCCAAACTCATCTTCGGCACCCTCGTCGCCCCCGGCCTCGCTGCGAAACGGGTCCTGTCCATCGGCGATCGACCACAGCACGAAAGCCTCCATCGCGGTCCCGGGGCAGGGGTTGGTCGCGTGCAGCCGCGCGCCCCGCCTCGCTCCGAGGCCGATCTCGGCCGACGCCGTGCCGACGCCGACGCCCAGTCCTCGGCCGGGCCTGACCCCGAAACCTCTGCAGAGGCGGCGACGCCTCCGGCCCAGGCAGAAGACGGCGTTGGCGCGACGGACCTCCGGGGCCACTCCCGCCACTCCCCCGCCGATCGTGTTGTTTCTTTTAGCACCGCTGCTGCTGGTTGTTGTTATGTCTCCTCCGACGAATTTCGCAGAGCCGCCGCCACCGCCGGCAACGCCTGCCTTTTCTGCTACTAGCGGGCTCCCGCTCGTTCCGTGTCTGCGTGGGAACGCGGGGTCGGCGGGCGGGGCGACGCCTGCGACGGTGGCGGTAGTGAAGAGGTCGCCGCTCTGTGGGTCCGGCTCGAAGGTCGGCCGGCGAAGAAAGTCCCGCACTAGGTCCGCGCATTCCGCCTGGCCGTTCGCCAGGGCTGCCTGGAGGGCCGTCTCTCCGTCGCTGTTCCGGAGGCGGGGGTCGGCGCCTCGCACGAGAAGCTCACACACTGAACCTTGGCTCGTTGGCAGGGGTGCGGGGCGTGGCCGTCAGAGTACAGAAAAGAGGGCGGCTCGGATGGATATCGCTTCCCGAAAATTGCAATGCAAAAGTAAAAAATATGGTACCCCCATCACAAAAACAAAACACACCCATATAATTCATTTCGGTGTTACTCCCTTGTTTTGTCTGCCTAGTGGTTCTTCAGGTACTTGTCTCGCTGATAGGCGGTTGGTGAAGGGGATTTGGGTTCGTTGCCTTCGTTTGTATTGGTCAGGTGTGGAAACAATATGCGGCGCGGTCAACTGGGAATATGTGACTCGTTTCTCCTCGCTGCCTGCGGCACGAGGGAGAAGCACTTCGTTTTCTCTCTCTCGTCCCATCGATTCCGGCGTGTCGAAACCGTTCGGTACGTGTTTGATGCACCAGCCGGGAGCCAGACACAAGGAAAAACACCGGTCTATCCCCCTGCGGTTCTTGCCCTCAAACGTTTACGCTAGAACGGTTCAGCCGGCCCTCCGATCGTTGCTGTGCGCACTCACGAGGCTACCAACTGTACAGTAGACACTCAGCCACTTTCGCGTGACCAAGCTCATGAGAGTCAGATGCATCCTGGTGCGCAGCACAGCATACGCGTAAAAGGTAGACGTCTACTCACACATCTGTACAATAGAACTGATTGTCACAGCAGCAGTAATCTGTTCCGACGGAGCTCAAGGCCTTTGCGTGGCGTCGTCCTTGGTGCCCACAGCAGTGCTGCGTGACCGTGTGCTCGAATCGCACAACCGTCGCACCTTCATCACCAGGGGCAGACCTCCACTACCAAGGGCAGAGGGCCCTGGTGCAAGGACCGGTGGTCGCACACACACTCGCCGCGAACCGGGATTGTACTACGGCTGTTTCCTGCCGGTTCTCCCAAACTTCCGCAGATCCGTGCCGACCACTGAGTGCCTCAAATGCTCCTCCTCCAAGTCCAGAAAACACACAGCCACAACTACTGTACATGGCAAGATCCCTGTCGATTAACTGTCAGAACGACAGCAAATCTGTGGTATTTCACAAAAGCTTGAAATCCTAGCAGCCGATATTTTTCTCCGGCTTGTCACCCTCGACGCAGTCAACCTCGACGCCGCCTTACAACACACAAAGAGCTTCGTCTTTCTCTCTCTCTCACCACCGGACCCTTCGTGGCAGGCGTAGTGCAGCGCCGAGTTCCTCCCCTGGGTCTCGTTGCCGGCGTTGAGCCCCGCGCCCTGCGCGCAGGCCGCCTCGGCGAGCACCGAACAACATCCCGTCTGGTCCATCCTCGCCGCCTCCATGAGGGGGGTCCGGCCGCGGATGGACGACCGTCCGTGCCCCAGCCACCTTTGAAGGAAACGAAGCGTGTTACGAAATATGTTTGTTATAGAATAGCAGGTGGTAAAGTGAGCCACCTTCGAAAGAAGGGAAGCGTTTCAATTGAAGTGTTTTCATGGAATCCGTTCGTTGTATGTAGTAAGTGTTTGAAGGGAAGCGTGTATGTAGCAGGTGGTAAAAATGAGCCACCTTTGAAGGAAACGAAGCGTTTAACATCCGAAATCCGTTTATTGTAGCACGTGGTAAAGTGAGACAGCTGCCTTAGAAAAAACGAAGCGTTTAACTAAATCCGTGTGTTGTATGCAGCAGGTGGTTAGGTGTTCGAACAGGGTTCTTGTCTGTTGGCACCCGTTGCTACATTTGCTTTCTCGGAGTTTGGCAGGTGCGGGGTTTGCGGCAGCAGATGAAAAGAATCCACTGAAAAGACTTCACCACATCCCTTTCGACTGAGGTTATATCTCGAACGGGTAGTCTTTCTGTGAGGTTATGTTAACTTTCTAAAAATAATTTTTACTCTCTGTGTGTCCATCTGTACTTCGATGTTCCTCCCGAACTACAGCTAAATAGCACTGGCACTCTGTTCGGAAGGCTACAGAAAGGGGGGTACCCTTTGCTTGCCTAGCAGGGCACCAGTTTTTTAAGATCGTTGTGGGCGGTATCGGTAGCCTTACTCAATCATTTGCAATCATCCTCGTCATCTTCACCTCGCTACGTCCACCCCGTCCGCCTCGGCCTCCGCCAGGGTTTCCACCAAAGCCTCCGCCGGGTCGTGCTGTCCATTCTTGTCTTCACCCCCTCCCGCGAGAAGAGCGGTAACCTTATGAACCAGGGCGGCTTCTAGCCGCGCGGTTGCGGCGGCCGGAGGGGGGGGACGGTCGACTGCGGTCCCCGGGGGGGGAGGCTCCCCGCTGGACAGCAGTGTCTTCTGCGGGGAGGCGGGGTTGTCCAGCGGGATGTTTTGCGGTCAAGCCAACGCGCGGGTATCCTTGTCTATGTAAGGGGAGCACGGCTTTTTTGGAGCAGCGACCGGCAAAGGGAGGAGGAGCAGTGGTAGCTGATGGGCGTTCTGCTAGAGTTCGCCATTCCCGTGCTGTGCATTGTGCGTGAGTAGGAAGGTTGAACACTGTGCTACAGCTAGTCTGATGGTTGTATCGTCCAATTGTACTGGTGGAAGCCATTTACACCTTTTGTTCTCTGAACACATGAGCCGGAGGCCGACGCTACTGCAATTGAACTGATGATATAGAGGCAACAGCAGGAGCAGTACTGCAATAGAGCGAGGATTGCACCAAAGAAGGTACAACAGCTCACCTCCTCCTCGTCGTCACCACCTTGTGCCCCGCCGTCCCCGTTTCCGCTTGTCGCCGCGTTGGTGGCCGGCGCTAGGTGCTTCGCGCCCAGGAGCACGGCTTCAACCCATGAAACCTCGTCTCCGTAAGCAGCCGCAAGAGTTTTTCTGTCCTCCATCTCCGCTTCCCCTAGGAACCCGTTGTTGATCTCGCCATCTTCCACGTCCTCCTCAACCTCGGCATCCATTGTCGCCGTTGTGGAGAAAGAGCCAGTTTGAGTTTGGTCTATGTCGCGCTCCTCCTGATTTCACAACATGGATTGCACCGGCTGAGGACCCGAAAATGAACTATCCGTCTGCCTCAAGATCAGGCGATAGGTGGAAAATGGAGGACAAGTGTGTGTGGGAATGCCCGGGAATAGAGAGAGAGGAGGGGCGTGAAGTGCGGGCTCATGGGTGTGGGAAATCAAACACACAACGAAGGAACGAAGCCCTCACCAAAGCGGAGTTGATATGACGGAGCCCCGCTCGTGACGGAGATTGCGTAGATCTACAACTCACACGTGGTCCAAACACATGCATCTATGCATATCTCTGTTATGTATCTCTGGTCATTGTCATGATGCTTCTCCGACACCTCAGCGCGGGGACGTGCTCCGTAGCTGCTGCCGCTGCTGCTGCTGCTGCAACAGCAATAATAGGCCTCAATGCCCAGCAGGGCCTTGCCTTCGTACCGCACCCGTCCAGGCAGTCATTGTCACCACGAGGGAAACGTTACCAATTTTCGTCAACAGCGAGGCCCCTCAGGTGTAGCAGTTTCGCTCGTAGCGATCGTGCGGAGGAGTGGAGAGAGGCAGTTCTGCCGTTCTTACCCCCTGATCGTTGTCGAACAGCATCCCCGGCGGAGTCGCTGGGGAGAGGGGAGTGGTTTAAGCTGATCTGCGGCGCCTCCTTTGAGGCGAGTTGAGGTTTGAGGTCAAAACGACCCCACGGGACTGTCAGATCAAAGTTGTTCGCATGCAGCATGCATGTTCGGTATCGGATATTGGGACAATAAGCAAGCAGAATGGAAACCAGTGGTAGCGTGCGGCAGCAACAAGATGGCTGATGTCAATTACGTATGCGCCAGAGGGCGAACATGTGCCGACTTTTGCTCGCTTGCTCTGCCGGGCTGCCGGAGGTCTGACATCGTTGTCTCGTACACAAAAACGGCGTATCCGCACCTCTCCGCAAAGCGCTGACAAGGCTATGCGACCCCGGTGTCGTTGCCCATGTTGCATGTACATGTGGCGAACATGTGATGCTGTTAGTTATGTGCTCCTGTTGTGGTGCTACATACTTGATGTGCATCAGTTTCGCACCTCTTGCTGAACAGGACCTTCCCGCCATCCGCGATCTGTCGCTCGTCTACACTCTGGCTGGCGCGGACTGCATCGACGTGGCGGCGGAGGAGGCTGTTATCGAGGCGGCTAGGTGAAGAATCGCTCTTCCCCGCTATGCGCTGCTCCCACGAAACGATCACCAACGATTTCCTGTCAGATGAAGTTATGGAGAACCAGCAGTAATTTTAGTGTTGGTGTGCCTGAGAAAGTCTTGACCTTGCACTAACTACACGATCATTTTTCCAGCTATTTTTTGGCATCGAAGGACGTATCCGCCCCCTGGGAGTGCCGGTCTTGTTTCTGGCGAGAGACTCCTCCGCACGCTGAACTCGCTTTCTCCTCCATCCATCATTTTGTTTGTTTTCGAATTTCTGGTATCACCGCCGGCAGGGATGGTGTTATCGCAGCGCTCGGCGTGGCCGAAACCATCGGCAAGCCGATGAGGATGCCGTGGTTGATGATGAGCGTCAACGACGACGAGGAAGATCCGCACTTCCGAAAGGCGGCTTTTGACCCAAACCTTTGCCCGGCCGGTGAGAAATGGTGTCAATGAGCCCGCCGATTGGCTAGACACTGACAACGTGTCCTGCTTGCTCTTTTTGTCCCGCATGGTTGAGGCGTTCTGAGGGGAATAAAATACTTCCTACTGTGCGAAACGGTCGCGATTCTTGGTGCTGATGGTGCTTCTGCTGTTGCGGTTAGAGGCTTGTGCTGCAATTGTTGTTCTTGCTGCTGCTGCTGTTGCTGCTGCTGCTGCTGTGAGGCATGCATAACTCAGTATTACCTACAAAGCTTTCGTGGATCGGTAAGATCCCTGTTGTGCCACCTCGACGAACTCTTCGTATTCCCCAAGCAATGAACACGTCATGTCCCCGCACCACCCCCACCATCGCTACCCTTGTCCCGTGAGCATTCTCACCTCCGTGTTCTTGTGTGTTGTACGTAACTGTTACTTGCGTACTAAAGACGCATATTTGATGCGTCTCTCGCATGAAACGAGCAGACTGCCCGAGACCCTGCGAGACAGTCTGCCCCGCGGATGCGGTGGTGTTTCCAGACTCGGCCCCGCCCCCCGCGCAGAGAGCAGCCATGGTGGGAGAACTCCTGAGGGCAAGCGCAGGGTACGTTTCTTTTGCCTGCCTACACATGCGTTTCCTCTTGCCCATTAGGAAATTATTACCCCTTGCCGCCCACTGGGAATGCGCAGAGGGTAGGCTATTTGTGAAGGCATGCTCACGAATTTCCAACATTGAGACGATAAGCCGAGCCCTTTTTTCTCCATGGGGTTAAGGACAACACGCTCAATGGTATACATTGGTAGACGTGCCAACGCCGAAACCGTATAGGTTGGGTGTATGATTTTTTTCTGCGATGGCCTTGCAAAAAATAAAAAGCGGAGGCGTGCTTGGCCCGAGATGCTACGGCTGCGGGAGGTGCATCACTGTGTGCCCCCCGGGCATCATCAGGGCGGAGAAGTACAAGAGGTCTCCGGGCGTGGTGCGGGAGTTGCTGGAGAAGGTCGACGGCGTGGAGATACACACCAAGGCGAGCGTTTTTGTCAGTTACCACTACGAGAGGCGCGTTTTGCCTCCGTGCAGCCCCCCGTCTTTTGGTCTTGGGATAATCGAGAAGAGACGCTGTGTAATAGAGATCTGGCCCTATAGAGATGTAGCCCTCTAGCCCTCTAAAGAGAGCGGATAGGATGCTCTATCTTGGGGATGTTTAGGAGAAATGCAAGCAGAGAGTAGGCCGGGTCTCGCGTCAGTGTGTTGTGATCTGCGCCCGGCAATAGTTCCCCGGGTGGAGTATCAAACAACAAGCAGCCGTGATTGTGTATTTTCTTGTCGTGAACAGCGGTAGCAGTGCTACGCTCCGGCGATTCTACTTGGCGGCATTGAGAGGTTCCTTGTGCTTGAACCGTATGAATATTGTGTGGCAGGCATCTACGAGCACCCTTACCTGGTGGCTCTTTGCTGATGATGACCGGTATTGCTTGCCGTCACATCGGGTACCTTTGGTGTTTCGTCCAATTCCTGCTCTTATGTGTCGTGTACCTTCCCCCGCGCCGCCGCACCCCGCCGCCACGCCTTGTTAATATACTCTTTGTCTTTTTTTTCTCTGTCTCCCTCTCCTTGTCCCTCTCCCTCCCCCCCCCCCCCCCCCCCCCCCCCCCCCCCCCCCCCCCC